TATGTTGCCCAGGAGGACTTCTGATGCCCAGGCTCCAGCAATCCTCCTGTCTCCGGCTCCAAAGAAGCTGGTGGTGCCTGCCACCATGCCCAGCTTGTACTGTGTCTTGAGCCTGCGGTTGACCCAGGGTGACTGCCACCACAGGTAGGGTGTGGAACGGTGGTGAGTGAAAGAAGCCAGACACACAGGCCCCACAGCACAGGATTCCATTTACAGGAAACGTCCAGGATGGGGCAGGTGTGCAGAGAGTGCAAGCAGTGTGGTCGTTCCCGGGGCTGGGGGCGATGGGTGGGGGGAGGCCTGATGGCTAAGCGGGGCAGAGGGTTCTCTGCAAGATGAAAATGTTCTAAAGCCATTAGTGGTGGTGGTCGCACAGCTCTGAGTATATTAAAAATCCCTTTACATGAGTGAGCTGTTCATTATATGAATTGTATCTCAACATAACTGCTAAAAATGAAAGCTTCCGTCTAAAAATAACTTGGCAGAGTGGATTCTTTCTGTGAATATTCCCTTTGCAGCAGCAGGGTCAGTAACGGACGCAGCCGGCCAGAACAAACTTCTTAAAAGCGAGGGCAGCCGGCTAGACAAGTTGGGTGTTGCTAAGGAACAGCGGCTACACTGAGGTGGCCTTTTCAATTGCAAATATGGAGAAGTGTTTAAAAGCTGGATGGTCACCCAGGTATGATTTGGATGTGGAAGAAAGACAGAGGACTCCAGTTCCCCCAGGGCAAGTTGATGGAGGGAAGGAGCCGGAGAAGGGTCCTGCCCGCTGAAGCGACCGGGTCGTCCTCTACAACTGGAGGCAGAAGAAGCAAAATTCTGCTGGTGGCTGGCACCGCCACTCAGAGGCAGGAGCAGCAGGAAGCGGGGTGGCCACGGAGGCCTGGGTCTGGGGCGTCCTCCGTTCCTCTCATGAGGACACAGCAGCTTTGGTCGTCTTCACCTGAGAGAATTTGCTCCCAGCTGTAACAGTGACCTGGCGCCGGATGTCAATTTGATGGCCTCTCCTTGGGTGTAACAACTGGAAAGGGCTCTTGGAAGTCGGCTGGGAATCCGGCAGCGCTTGGCGTCCATCCTCCTGCTGCGGGACTGGGAGGTGATGGAGAGCTCGCAAATAATCGCATTATTTCTGCAATAAAGCCTGATACAGCCACAATAAAAGTTAATGATTAGGTCCCGGCTTTCAGCCGTTTCTCAAGAGTCTAGACTGAAAACGCCAAAGAGATCTTGGTGTCTCCTCTGCAGATTCACCTGTGGGGCTTTGAAGTGAATTCGGGGCCAGCCTGCAGCTGTGCGCTGGTTTGTTACCAGGTTTTTCTTTGGTCAACCGAACAGCCCCTGTTAGAAAGGCTCTGTTGGGACTCTGGGGCCGGCCTGGGCTGTGGACCGTCCTGAACATTCAAAAGCTACAGCACTGAAACCCACGGCTCAGGCGGACACTCTGGGAGGGGGCAAACAGCCCTCTTTCTCCGAGGGTTTGACTTCTCCTCTCCTTCTCCAAGCACGATAAATACCTCCTTTTAAACTCCCTGCAGTCAAGCTTTTCATTTCTCAGAAGAGGGAGCCAAAGCTCAGAAAGGTCGAATGACCTGGGCGTGGTCATGGCCCCTGGGGAGTGGGCGCACGGGGGACTGATTTAGGACTTCCCGTGGCCCAAGACCCAGAACTCTCCTAGTCACAAAGAGCACTCCAGTGGGACGCTCACTGAGCCCTCGGGCACTCGCCTAGAAACCCGGGGTTCTGGGGTGACGGCTGTAGTGCCGGCCGCCCTCCCGGAGCTGACCACTAGCAGGCAGGAGGCTGGGCGAGGAGCAGCAGTCCACCAGACTGAGGGGCGCCCCAGAGGCTCTTCCGAAGAGGCGACATTGGAGCTGAGATGGGACCAGGAGGCAGCCCGGTGAGCGGGAGCTGAGACAAGGAGACTGGCCTGTCCCTCTCCAACAGAAAGCCCCCAGGGCACTAAGAGAGACAGTGACAGGCTGGACTTCCCGCTGGCAAAGCCTCCTTGGCTGAGTGGCCAGGGGGAGAGGGGGATGAGGGGGACTGTGGAGGCTTCTGCAGGGTCCAGGTGGGGGGTCCAGGGAAGCTGGAGAGCAGAGCACAGACTCAGGGTCCTCAGGCTGGGGCTGGAGGAGCCCGCCCCGTGGGTATGCAGAGCAGCAAGTGGCCTGGGGCCTGGGTGGGAGAGTTTCTGAGTCAATCACAGCCATCCGGGGCTCTGCCCAGCTTTGCAGATTGGAACCCATAGGAGGGGACATATTTGACATCAAGACCAGACTAGATGACAAAATGCTTAAGTGTTGTATCATAGTTTTTTCTATTGAGTTTACAATCAACAGGGAGAAGACCATCACCCTCAGCGGGTCCTTCTGAAGTTCTCCCCTCCTCCCCGACAGCCAAACCTGCGCAGGACTCAGAGGACCCTGGACAACAGGCGCGTGGAGGCCCTTGTTCCTTAGGTCTAGGTTTTTCATTATTCTAAATCCATTTGCTACAGCAAATAAAATAAAAGATATATATCTACCCCAGACTTCCATGAAGCCAAGGACTATTAATGGACCTGCCCAGCAATGTCCCTCTGCTTCCCAACCTTGGCCCTGCCCCACCCCATGCAGCCCACTCCATCTCTTTGGCTGCTTCCTGCCCGCCTGCTCCAGGGGCCTCTTGGCCACCCTTCTGTCCTAGAGGTACACACACCAGTGTGGCCCATTCGCCCTCAGAAGGGTGGGTCCAGAGGCTGGGCCACTTGGGGTAGGATTCTGGGATCCCACAGAACCAAAGTCCAAGCTGGAAGTGCAGCCTGGGCTCCTTGACCAGGGGACGGAAGAGGGTCAGAGTGGCCCAGGAAGGCATGACAGCCAGGGCAGGGTCCAGCCTGGGAGGTCCATCCAGCCCGTAGGTCCCCCCCACACACTGTCCTCTGTGATGAGAGGGACAGGTCAGAAACTGCCTGAGTCTTATTGGAAAGCTTGAAATTGTTGCGTTCATAACGGTCACAGCTGGATGTCTGACATTCACATGTAAAAGCCTCGCTGCTCTGAGATCAAAGGGGAGGCCAGGGGGCCGGCTCTGTCTCCTGCATCCTCGGAGCCGCCACCGGCAGCCCTTATCAGCTCCCGGGATGCCTGAACCCTCAGCCCTGTAGAGAGAGTGAGTGACAAAGTGACAAAAGGAAGAAGATAAAAATCCACCCCACCCTCTGCTCCCGCATCAGACCCGTCTGGTCTCTTGTCCCCGTGCAGGATGCCAAATGCTGACACCACACTTTTGCAAAAAAAGTTTATTCCCAAGGTGGCCAGGGGCGAGATGGGAGGACGGGTCTCAAGCCCGTCTATTGGAGGCTGGGGCGGGGCCTCACCGGCTTGGAGGTTGGTTCTGCGCGTGCGCACGGGCGCTTCAGCCCTCAGAATTGTGACCTGGGGATGGAGCCCGGGGCCTCGCTGTGCAGAGCGAGGGCTCTGCCGCTGAGCTGCTTCCCCAGCCCCTGAGGGGTGGTCTGCACCAGGGACACTGGTGATTTTTAAAGTCAACCAGCAGCAGGCAGCTAAGGGCTGGTGAAGGGGGTCGGTGCGGAGGGCTTGCCTGGGTTCCCTGGGCTTTGCCACCTCGTGGCGCGTCTTTCTGGCCTTTGCCTGTGTGAGTCTGCTCGCCTAGTCCGCGTGTCCAAGTGGGTGTTTTGCAGGCCTCATTAGCACATTCCCTATGTTCCGTTGCGTCCATCCCCTGAATCTCTCTGAGCATCTGCACATATTAAATATTCTTCTAAGGCTGAACCATGAAAATGTTTTAAATCGTTTGTTGTTGGTTTTTTATTGGGGGGGGGGCGTGGCGGAGGTTTAGTAGTGGGGATTGAACCCAGGGGTGCATTACCACCTCCCCAGATTTTTTTCTTTTTTTCTGTTTTGAGACAGGGTTTTTCTAGGTTGCTGAGGCTGGTTTCCAATTTGTGATCTTCCTGCCTCCACCTCTGCAGTCACTGGGATCGCAGGCATGCACCACTGCACCTGTTTTAAGGTCTTGGTAAAGTTTTCCACATTGCACTCTGGACAATGGTGAGAGGATTCTCCACATCCACAAGTGCGGATTGGGATATAGGATGCTCGGGCAGGGACCAGAGTGCTGAGGGGACTGATGGTGTCTGGGGACAGGGAAGGTTCCGCTCAGGAAGGAAGGCACCACTGTGCTAAGAGGAGGAAGCACTAAAGATGGCGAGGGGTGGAGCAGGAGGTAGAGGATGCCTCATCCTGGAGAAGGTACAAAGGCCCCGAGGCTGGGAGGAGCTGGTGTCCAGGGACATGGGGTGATAATGGGAAATGTGAAGGACAAGCACATTTGTGAAGGAGCCCAGGTGGAGTGCAGGGATAAGGGAGTCCAGACAAAGGTGGGGGATCCGGATGTGCAGAGCTGCAGCAAGGAGTGTTCACGTCACCCTTCTGGACCCCATGTTTCAGCTCTGGATGAGTCAGCCAGCCGAGGCGGGGGCTTGTGGTTGTGGCTCAGGGTCGTCTTCTTCCACTCTAACTTCTGTGACTTACTTTCTTCCTTTTATCTACCCACCCCATACTGCATATGAGCCCTCGGGCTTTTACAACTGAGCCCTTTTTATATTTTATTTTGAGACAGGGTCTCCATAAGTTGCCCAGGCTGGCCTCAAATTTGCTATCCTCCTTCATCGGCCTCCGGAGTCGCTGGGAGTACAGCTGAGCGCCACTGCACTCAGCCGAAGTTCTGCTGCTTTCTTGGATGAATGAACTCATCACCCACCATCCTGGTGGTTGCCTTGATTGGTTCATTCATCCCCCATCCATTTATCCCACGAATATTCATCGAGCCCCCAGAGATGTGCAAGTTTTGCTCTGAGCTGCTGGGGCCAAAGCAGTGAGTAAGTCAACCGAGTCTGGCCCTCGGGGACCCGAGAGACTGGCATCGAGCAAATGTGCAAATACATCAGCTAATCTTAGATTCAGCAAGGCCCTAAGGGTGATTAAAGAGGAAAGAGTGTGAGTCCTGCTGCCAGAGCCTTGAGCCACCTGCAGCAGGTGACTGGGAAGCTGGGTCCCGTGGGCCCCTGTAGTTTGAGGTCAGGTCTGTCCGTCCTCAGGACAACGGGAAATCACAGAGTATTTTCAGCCAGGAGGCTCCGCCTTTGGACTTGGCTTCTTCTGCTGAGCACAGTGGAATGGGCAGCAGAGGGGACCCTGCAGATGACCAGAGGCTATTGGGGTGATCCAGGCAGCAAGCCAGGCCTCCTGGTAAGGAGAAGGAGGCACCCCCCACAGAATGGCATGGACAGAGAAATGTGTTCAAGAAGAACAACCAGCAAGGTCTGTTGACAGATGGGGAGGGAGGGAGCTCAGGGGAGGGAGGGAGCCGGGCTGTGGCCCCAGGTCCTGGCCAGCAGGGCTAAGGAGGACGCCAACTATTGAGAAAAGAACCCTAGGGCCAGCTCTGGGCAGACCTGGAGTCCTCTGGCACGCGGGTGCCTGTGGAAAGGCAGAGGAGCATGGGAGACGCGGCTGCTTCAGGGGTGAGACGGCGTCTTGAGATGCACTGGACACTGGGGGTGAGTGGGGGGGGTGGCGGTGCCAGGCCTGGTACCCCCAGACAGTGGCACTGATTTATGGCAAATACATGTCCCCACCTGTCCTCTGCCTTTTACGTTTGTTTGGGGTGAGGACAATTTAGCTCACCTTTAAGAAAACAGTTTTCCCTGCATATCTGACTAACGCTCAAGTAGGACACATGGAAGTAGATTCCTCAAAGTAGATTCTTCAGTTTCCTCAGACATAATCCAGAGCCAAAGCTGGGCTCACACTTCTTCAAACACCAGGGAAGCCTGGGTTTGCTGGTGATGGACTCCCACGCCGTCCCCGTCCCCAGATCTTTCTATTTCTGGTGGGACTGAGAGCAGTTTCCATCTGGACGTCCACACTGTTACCTAAGAGCTGTGCCAAACTGCTTGGATCGCTTTTTAAAACAATCACCAAACAACAATTTCTGTTGTTCCCAGTACAGCTCTGAGCCACAAAAATTAATTACATCACCTAGGAAATTAGCCCTGTGTTTTGCATCCAAAGGTCAATGTTCACACTGAGAAGTGGCTTAGTGCTTTCCAACACAGGGCTCAGCACATAAATATTTATCACACAGAGGACAGGAACTCATTGTACGCGGTGTGTTTACCTTATCAGGCAGTTACCTGGGGCAAAGAGTCCACCGTCTGCTTCCTGTCCCAATTTCTCTTGCCCAAGACCTTGGGCAATTGTTTATTTGACAGAGTGTTCTGTCCCATGCCTGCTCTTCTGGGAATCAAAGTATGGGATGCTGAACAAACAGATTACCTGCCCCCGCATACCTGATTTCTGGAGATGGGCGCATTCTAGGCGCCTGCTAGAGAGATCCAACATTAGTTACAACAGAGAAACAACAGGGACCACGCGTTTCTCCATCCGTGACTTTTGCTCGCGTTGGTTGGTGTTTCTAATGCCGTCAAAGGATTTTATGGAACCATTTTATCCATCTTTGGACAGTGAAAATGAAATACTGTAAGGGGGGGAGACCCGTGAACAATGGTCCCAGGCATGATTTGTGGCAAAAACACAGGCTTCTCTTTTATTCTTTCTTCTGTGTCTGTGCAATGTGAATGTTAGAGAAACGTTGGCCAAGTTGGCAGGAACCTGGCCGCATATTGATTTTGGCCGCTCTTAACTTTTATTTCGCAAAGTCTCATTCTAACTAGCTCAGGTCATTGTTACATAAGGAAGCCCCGCCGGGCTGTGCGCCAGTTCAGCTCAGCATTTTCTACCTCCTCACAACGATGCCAGCAATGAATTTCTGAACCTTCAGAACAGAAATCTCAGGTTGGGGAACGGCTGACAGGCGAGGAACCTCTGTCCACAAACTAATTTTCAAAGGATCAGAACGTATTTTAAATCTCTTATTTGAGCCTCTTCAACTTGCAAAGTTACCAATTCTAAAAGTTTCCTGGCAACTCTGCCTTGTTATACTCTAACTTGAATTTAATTCTGCAAGTATTTATATATTATAACTTAATGCATGTGTTTTGCATTTAATTTCTTAGACCGTTTGCTTCTCCTCTTTTTGAATTGCTTGCTATCCTTTGCACAGTCCCTTCCGCCCCCATTTTTTTTTTTTTAGTTCTGGGGACTGAACCCAGGGGCCTGTTACCACTGAACCACACCCCCAGCCCGTTTTATTTTTATTTTGAGACAGGGTCTTACTAAGTTGCAGAGGCTGTCTTTGAACCTGCCATCCTCCTGCCTCAGCCTCTGGAGTGGCTGGAATTATAGGCATTCACCACCAGGAACGGCTGCAAGATCCTTTTTGCTGTATTTTATGAATTTTTGACCACAGCCAGCTATTGAGCCAATGCCTTCATTGCAGCGTCCCCTCTAACTGTGTGAAACTGATAGAGTTTCTTATCCTAATTGGAATTCGTATTTCAATGCCACATTTCCCTAATTCAAGTTGATCAACTTGAAATGAGTTTGGGGGCTTCACAATCCCTACACACGTGGGAAACGCAAGACGGTCACTCTGCAGAGCATAGCATGGAGTTCTGGGCAGGTCGATCCTGCAGCTGGAGCACTCGGGACCCCCACTGTGCTGGTTCTACGCAGGGTACATCGTGAGGCACCTACCAGTGCAGAGCTCTGTGCCTCGGGCCAAAGATTTCCAGGCTTTCTCTTTTAAACAGTAGTTCAGACAGGAAGAGAAGTCCCATCAGTCACCAGCACCTCAGTATAGATTGGTTTACAGGATTGCCCAAGGTCACCAAGCCAGAGGGTGGTGTCGGAGTTCCCACCCAGGCAGTCGGGCTCCGCGTCTCCCCACCACGTCATTGTTTGGGGAGGAGGGCACGTTCATTCCAATCGCCCTGCCATTCCCCAAACATGCTTGGAATTACTTTCTTGGGATTTGATAAAAAATTCGAGGAATCTCATTTGAACGCAGTAAGCAGAGGAGAGAGCTCATGGATACTTCCATCCCCTGGCCCGTCTCCTCATTTGGGAAACGTGTTTCACAAGGGTGCCTCTGGTTCTGGCCATCATGACCTGGAGGAGTCCACCCAGCCACTTCCGCCGGTGGGGAGCGTGACTTCTGCGCGCTTCTCCCTAACGTGGACGTTCAGACTTGCCTGGCCTCCCGGGCAGGGTGGCGGCGTGGATTATGTGAAATGGCAATGGATAGAGCACAAGGTGGATTGAGATGCGACTTGTCCTTTTATGTCACCCGGTGACACTCGAGGGGAACCGGAACAGCCCTCTGGCCTCACTTGCGCTTACTTGCTTTGACCACAAGTTTCAGAGCTAAGCAGAATGGTCCCACCCACTTTGCTGTAGATGACACCTCTGAAGCCGGTGTCACCGGTGTCACCGTGGTAACAGTTGCCTCCATGGTTTTCCGGGAACTTAAGGCAGCTCAAACCAGTTGAAACCACGGCTCCTTCTCTTGGGTGGGCTGGAGTCCCAGGGTCCAGCAGGTGACCTTCTCATGTCAGGAGTACCCAGCGTGGCCACTTTCTGGACCCTCTTGGGAGCCCTGAGGTTAGATTGCACAAGCACAGACCACCAGGGGCTTCTCTCTCGCTGTCCCCAGTCACCTCTCCCACACCTCAGTCGGTTTCTGTACCCAATAAACCTTCTCCCTGGGAGGTGGTTAGGCACAGGGCTCCTACTGCCTCACGGTTTGGCCGCCTGGTGAGTCAACTCTTTTGCAGAACTGACGTCCTGCAGGTGACAACACAGGCCTTGGTGCATAAAGTCCTCACTGCAGCCTGCGGTGCCCCCTCAAGTCCACTCTGCCTAGGCTCTGTTTCTGGAGACACAGGGGTGCACGGGTCCTACACTCAGGGAGCGCACGTCTAGTGTGAGGTGGACGTGGAAACACGTCAACTAGACACAGGAAAAGCACCGCCAAAGAAATCTGGGCAGAGCCAGCAGCCAAAAGTCCAGCAGGCAGCTCACCACCTAGGGCAAGGGATGCTGAGCCTAAAGGACACTGTTCGGGGTTGAATTTTGTACCCCCAGAGATACATCCAAGTCCCAACCCCGTGAATGTGACCTTATTTGGAGAGAGGGTGCTGCAGACGTAGTTCCTCATGGTGAGGTCACACTCGCGGGGCCCTTAGAAGAAGAAACGCCTGCGGAAAAGAAGACCACGTAAAGAGGGAGGCAGTTCCGCCACGTCTCCAGGCCCAGGGCGCCAACCGCGTGAGAGGCTGGAAGAGACGGAGGATCCTCCAAAGATTTCAGGAGGAGCGAGCCCCAGACTTCAGTCCCCAGACGTGAGACTAACGAAGCTCCGTCGTCTTAGGCCACTGAGTGCATGGTACTGTGTTATGGCGGCCACGGAAAGCCCTACCCACACAGGAGCAGCCCCGGGAAGGGGAGAAAAGGGCCCGGCCAAAGGGTCAGTATTTGCAGTGGGGAAGAAAGGCCTCAGCAAGTGAAGGGATGGAAACGAAGCCCACAGAGTCCAGCCCATCTTCCCCCGGAGCCTGGCCAGGGGCCGGGCCTGGCCAGGAACCTGGCTGCCTGTCACCGTGACGGCCCCTGGGCTGAGGGCCCGAGATGGCCGCTGGGGGGTGGGACCTGGAGGCCGTGCAGGGAGCCCAGGAGTCTTGTGGGGAGGTGGTGACGCCCGAGGGCTGCAGCAGGGGGTGCAGTGGGACGCTCTGGGGCTGGCGGGAGAGGCCACGCGGATGCTGAAGTTCAATAGTGCTCTAATGAAGTCGTTTTTTAGGCTGCAGGATGGTGACAGCTTCAGACACAACCTGGGAGGTCGGGCGGTGGGGACGGCCCTGGGACGGGGACAGCCCTGTCACTTCTCCCACTCATCAAACTTGGCTCCAGGTGACTTGACTGTTTCCAAAACCTGACCCCTCATCCTCCTCAAGAGCGTCCTGTTCCTGAAGGAGAGTCACTGTGTCCTTCCGACGTACACACTGGGTGACACGTGCTGCCTTGAGGAGTGCCAGGGTTCGGGGTGCTGTAGCGCCAACCCCACGGCGTTAGAGTGGAGCCGGCACCCGGGCTTCAGGATGGTGCCAGTGCAGCCCGCAAGGCGCCCGGCACGGCTGTCCCGCAAGGCGCCCAGCATGGCTGTTGGGGCTGTCGATAGAAATAGACGGTGAATGGATTCCCTCCCATTCAGCGGGAACTTCATGAGCTCACCGCGAGCTAAGGGTCTCGATATTCAAAACTGGGGCTGGGAATCCGTCCCCGCCCTGCACAGGGCCCTTCTCCCTCGGGACTCGGCTTTTCTTGGCCTTGGAAGGTCACTGAGAGCAGGAGCAGCTCTG